TTCAAGGAGGTTTATAGGATCTCAAGGGAATGGAAACACAATGATGTCAAAGCTCTACATGATTGTATGTTCACAGTCCAAAAGGCTGTGGACTAAAGTTAAGAGGACTAGCTGAACAACAGCAATTTTGCAGTATTTCTACTTACAGAAGTATGCAAAGTATGGAAGAAAGAGCCAGTAGTACAATTAAAGCCAAGCAGCAGTCAGAAAGGGAATTCAAAGGGCAAAGGTACTGGTACTGTAGTATAGGTCTTGGGCTCTTTTACTACAGTTAGCTGTAAGACCTCTGTAGCCCACAAAACTCATCCAAATATTCATCTGCTGCAATTTCTAATAAATGGCCTCTCCCTTATTCCTGATGATGGCCCCAAGCTCCCTCATCAAAGGCTCTACAAAGCTTGACAGCATTGCAAGAACAAGAGAGAGACTAAGGGAAAAAAATGTACTGGACATCAAAGAAACAGAAGTGGTTTCACTGCAGTGCCCCAGGCAGCTGAATGGATCTTTTCCTATGTTCAAGAAAGCCACATGGCCGAGGGAATCTCAGCAAACTCAGATGCCAACCTTTTCATTTAGCTTCCCCTTACTAGGGGTAATGGTTTGTCCTAACAGAATTCTCATTTTTCTTCCCAATTTTAGAGTCCATTTCTTGATAAGAAAGGCTGGCTGGTGCTATCATAACTCCTCTGCATCTACTATTCAGGGTCAGTAGAGAGCCAAGTTATATGCTGACTTTTCTCAGGGGTAAAATATGCAATGCCCCCAGGGTATAGAGACTTCCCTGTGTAGCACTGAAGAAAGGGCACCAGCTTCAGATTCCTTCCACAAAGCAGCTCCTTCAAGTATCAAAGAGAGACACTTTCTGTCTGTGACTGCAATGGCCAGATCTACAATCAGAGACATGCTATGAGCCAAGAAAGGCAGACATTTTCTGCCTGGCATTGTGAAGCTATGCCAGGGAGGTATATATATATGTGAGAGGTTATATGCTTCCAATAGTGTTAAGAATACTAAGCAGAATGTAATATATTCTTGGGAACTGCAGTAACCCATGCAGTCAGAGAAAGCAAGGAAGAGAGCTGTGGCTGCTTTTGTATAACCTGTCTATACCCCACAGAGATTCCAATGGTTTCCACTTCAAGCTCCAAGACAGACATTGCTTAGTGCTTCCATGAAAGTATTTCTGAGTGCAGGTTAATCATAACATTCCATGGAGTGATTTGGATTTTCTATTAGAATATTTGCTAATTTCATCATGGGAGGTACTTCATGGGAACTGAGCATTTTCACCTTAGAATGGGTGAATGGGAAGATACCAGTTACTGCAAATAGGAAAGATGAGCATATGGCTCCCGGCATCTTCTGACCATATCCAGTTCCTTGCCTGTCTTCTGTTAACGAACAGAGAGGGACAAATTCTCAGCTGCCCCCACTAACTTCACTAGAGCTATACCTATTTACACTAGCATGGAACTTGCCCAAAAGTGTATCAGGGCTTCATAAGATAATTTCTAGTGGACTCAGCATACATGACAGAGCGCAGAGAATCAAAGAAGTTAGATGTGGAAAGATCTAGTTCATCCTCATTCCCCAGTGACCAGGTCAGAACTGGTTTCTAGAGACTGTTCTTAGTGCTTGGTTCAGTCTAGTTTTAAATAATTCTAACAAAGGAATTCCCATCTCTTCTCTGGAAAGACTATTTCACAATCAAAATAGATTGAAAGCTTTACCTAATATTCAACCTGAATTTTCCTTCACTTAAAGTCCTCTCATTTACAACATCTTGTACCATGCTACATATTTTCTTTTGCTCTATGGTATTTCAGAGATTAGTAGAGATGTAAATGACTAGTTGACTACCTAATAAGCCTAGGCATTTGCTTATCAGATAGTCTGTTGACTAGTTGATTCCCCACTCCCTCTGCAGCCTCTATGAGATAGCGGCAGCAAAGAGGGGGAGGAAGGGTACTTCAAAGCGACAGTGCCGCACAGCTGATCCCTGGCTCAGCTGTGCAGCGCTACCACTGTGAAACCCCAAGGCAGCGTTTCAAAGGGGTAGCTGCTGCTGCTGCACAGCTAATCCGTGGCTCAGCTGTGCAGCGGCACTGCCCCTTTAAAACGCCACAGGGCTCTGGAGTCTGGGATCAGCTACGGAATCCCTACCTAACCCTGGGTTCCGAGCCACAATTCCCCAGAACCCAGGGTCAGCTGGGGAGTCCCATGAAGCATGAAGCAGAGCAAAGAGCCTGGGGTCAATGTGGGACTCTGAGTACCCTGCTGACCCAGGCTCCATGGCTTTGAAATGCACAAGAGCCCCCAATGGGGACTCTTGTACATTTCAAAGCAGGCACCTACGAGCAGACCAGAGTCAGTAGAACTTTCTGCTGGCCCCGGGCTGTACCTGGAGTTCCTCATTCCTCCTTTGAAATGTACAAGAGTCCCACCGGGGAGGCTCTTGTACATTTCAAAGGAGGAATGCAGAAGTGCCTGTCGAGTAGTCGATGGAAATTCCATTGACTACTCGACTAGTCAATTAACCACATTTTAACATTCCTAGTACTTAGATGCCAAGAGGATCACCTGCCAACCTTGGATAGGATACTTCTCCACATGCAGGCCAAAAATCTTTACTGGGAAGTAAGAGCAAAGCACCCCCATTTTGTAAATTCTGTATTTTTTACCAGTTTATTTTTTTGAAAGTTCAAGGAATGGTGGCAACACCAAGTTTCCCGCCCAGCAGGAGAAACTGGAAAATATCAGCATCAGTGACCCCCAGATGAGGGCAGCCTGAGTTGCTGACTGAGCCCTAGTTAAGCCCCAAGCGAGCCCTCTAACTTGCAGGAATGAATCTTCTCCTGATCTTTAATAAGCTCATAATTTCGGCCCCTTTTTTCTCCCTAAAGCTTGGTGCTAAGTGACAGTAGCTTCATAATTTCTGCATCACAAAGGCATCAAGAACAATGTAAAGCAATTGTGAAACTTTGCTCAGAAGAACCCTGGGAACATGGTGGCAAAGAAACTGAATGAACTCTCTCACTCTAAAAGATATCTGGGCCATTCTTAGAGACCCCTATTCCCAATGAGAAGAAATTATTTTTTCAGTTTAGGACCAAGTGTCTCATGTAGGTCATGGCTGAATGCAATGAAGAGTGCATAGAAGCTTAGGTGTCTGAGAAACAAAAAGACTGATGCCAGGAAAGGGGGCATCCCAAAATCAGTGATAAAAATGGGGATCAGTATGAGCAGACTCTTTTGGAATGCAATGGAGCTTAGCATTGGCATATCTCAGGGGACTGACCAGCAGAGCATATCAGTTTCACTGACTTAGATGGGTATCCAGTACACAGGAAAGGCATTCCCGCAGGCTGTGAGAGGTGTCTGCAGTTTGCTGTGATGACTGTTTTCCTAGTCACTGTAATGGGGTCTCTGAGTACCATGCAGAAAAATGACACTTGTCATTGCACCTATATTGTCTGCCAAGAGGCCACTCAATATAAACAAGGGCAGTTTTGGTCCATGACCGCATTGCTCCTTCCTGTCTCCAGAGCACAAAGGCTCAAATCCAGGCCACAGCTGAATAAATAGTCTTCACTGCTGTGCTATGAGGAAAGAGAGAGAAGATGGAAGAAGGAAGGAAGATACCAGTCAGAATGAATAAAAACTAGAATCCCCAAGGCCCACTTTTGGTTGGTACCACAAATTACTGTATCCAAAATTCCAGTAACAAACTATGTCATGGTCTTCAGTCCTGACCCTATACACCAGGGGAGTCAGACATATGCACTCTACCATATCCGACAAACTAATATGGCCTCTGAAATCCCATATACCCAGGGAGAGAACAAGAGATACTAGAATTTGTGTGTTAACCATATTTAGTTACACTGGAACACAATAACATTCCAAAGCTGCAGAACCAGAGGGAGAAAAGGGGGGCAGTGATCCCACAGTGAAAATATTGTGGGGTTCTGGTCTCATATAAACCTCTGCTTACCCAAAGCAGTTGGGGAGGGGGAGTTGAAAGCATGGATTAAGAAGCATTACATGTTAGGAGAGCTTCTGCAGGCCAACTTTCTGTAGTATAATCAGTGTTGCTAACCCCAGACAATCAAAGTCATGCCTCAAACTCCAAAAAATTATGAGTTTGGCTTAAAAATGAGATATTAAAAATAGTAATTTAGGATTTTTTCTTTGCCTTCTGAACCTCTAGGGTGAACTTAAAGTCACGTTTTCAGCTTTTTCACAAGCATGAAAGCTAGACACTTTTGTAAAATGAAAGATGAGATATTCT